GTATTGTTCACAATACACAGTAACACAGAAAGAACGATGAAGGACATTGATCAATAAAGATGATAAACTAAGGTTAAATATCACGTATGAACAATCAATTTCAGCCTATCTAGGGAAGTAGAGTAGTATCCAATGAACTCCATCGGAAACGTTATAGTTCAGTGGTCTTAACAACATCGATATTTTACTTTAGAGATCAATAAAATTCTCACATAAAATATATTACTATGTTGTATTTTTGTGCAAAACATTATCAATATTGAAGGAAAAATAATGACATTGTCAAATGTTCTAAATGACACCGGTCATTTTTCATCCACATAATACGACGTTTACCTGAAAAGTGAAATATTTATATGATTACAAGTAACATTTGCCTGTGGACTCGCTCAGCTCTTTCTCGTAGAGATAGTGCATTCTTAATCTTAGATTTTGCAGAATTTTGTTGCATCAATAATCTCAAGTATTTTCTGAAATCTTTGACATCCATCAACTTGATTTTTTAGCGTTAGCTTTTTTAGTGTAATAAATCGTGAGTGGAGTATATCTATGCGTTGAAAGTCTTGTCTTACTTTCTCGCTCATTTTCGCTCAAAGGAAACTCATGAAAAGAAAAGTGAAACGGTATTATGAGCGAGATTAACACATAATTTTCAACGAAGTCAAAAAACACTGTTTTCATGAAAATCTGTGTTGTAAAGAGTCGCTCTCTGACTCATCTACTTGAATTTAAACTAGAAAGTTTTCTCATCTTGATACAACACCTTGATTTCGTTAATCATCTTGCATGGTAAGCTAGGAATACATTTGATCTTTATCAAACTTTTATTATTGATTTTATAACAATTTCATGGTGGACAAACTATGAGTCATCGGACTTTAACTTTCAAGCTTATATTCAGAGGTTGAAGACATCATATCTTTAAGTAACTCTCATGTAATTTTTCAAATCGGTTTTCTCGTTCAGTTTCTCTTATGAGATGCCACATTACAGTGTTCCCCTACAAAGAGGTACCTGAGATGTTGTCGTTTAGCAATAATTTCATATTTGGATCGCTTGTAAGGATAAAATCTAATTCAAACGGTATTCTTATTTATAGGTTTCAAAACGACAGAGTTCACTACTCATGAACCTTTGGACTATTAAAAGAGTCGAACTAAATATTTAAAATGCTCTCGAACTAAGCAATATATTACCTATGAAACTGTCAATGAGATTTTTAGTAATTGAATCTAAATAAAAGGTCATCCAACTATACACAATAGCTAATACGTTGGATACACTTATCAATACATGGAGACATGGAAAATAGCATTGTTGAATTCTTGCGCCAAAACTTGTATGATTGTTTATTATTCATCAAACATGGTCACCAATTTCAGTAGAGGATTAGCGACGCTTACGTCGCGTTACTTGTATTTCATATATCAAAAGTTAAATTACGAGATAATGAATGGTGTAAATGCGCTGTACACGATGCATTTACAGAAGCAAAATTAGCTATTATTGATAAAGTAATTTTATTTTAATGAGTGATGTCATAATATCCTTACACCCGGTAACGAATTATTAGCACAAACACGCTACACTATCCACATTAGGTGCATCCACTTTTGGGTATCCGAATTTGGGTATTCACATTTGGTGTATCCACTTTTTGGGTATCCACATTTGGGTATCGACATTTATGTATATATATATATGTTTTGAAAAGCTGAGCAATTTGAGTTGTTTTGGTGTATCCACTTTTGGGTATCCACATTTATATATATATAAATGTGGATACCCAAAAGTGGATACACCAAAAGTGGATACGCTTAATGTCATTACATCAGATTGTAGATGCACTAAGAATGGATACTCCATAAATTATTGCTGCATAGGGTATTGTGACGTAAAACTCTCGATACCCAGTGTGAAGGTATTATGACATCTATGATTTTAATTAAAAGAGAAATAAAACAAAAGATAATTTTTCTTTTAGATAAATTAGTTGAATTAGTTGAACCATTTATCCAAAGCTGATATAGATGTTGTATGCTATCATATTGATTGACAAATATTTTTTACTCCACAATCACGTATACATGCAAAATAAATTGGTTGTGTTATTATAAATTATTATTAGATGATATTGAATAGGGTGATCAAGGTTAATATGAAATGCGTTGTGAAAATAGCAAAACATCATGCCATTTAATAGTTAAAAAATTAGAAACAACATGTTTTTGATCATTTAACAAATAAAATTTAACTGTCCACGAAGGAGTAAGACAAAAAGGGGGCTTTTTTATGATTGAAAAATCTTGCTTATCTTAGGATGCAGCTCGTTTTGGATGTGGAGGTGGATGTGGAGTATGGTTTTGGATGTTCAACAAAGTAATAATACCACCCACACCCTTTATCACTTTTATTCGAAAAAAAGATGGCTTCCTTTTATTGTTAACGTGAAATGTGCTTCATGCTAATCATAATATTAGTAAAAAGATAAGAAAAAAAAGAATTTAGTTTATTTTAATCATGCCATTGAGTACCCAACCATTGGCGAGCCAGCGTCTGGTATGGAGGTGTGGCAATATATAGTAATGCCTAGCTTTTTTTCAACAAAGATATATTTTAAAAGTGACGTATGTATCTATACAGATAGATACGCATATGCGATTAATAATATTTTCAGGTGTAGCAATTGCTGTGTGGTGGTTCACCGATGCTTATATACACTATTAATATTGTTTTCACGTATGGCAATATTTTTCTCAGGTGTGGCAATTGCCACCAATTGCCTCGTGGTGGCCCGCCGATGTACCCAACGTATAGGAAACGAAAGAATATACATCAGATAATTCTTCAATTCATTTAATCATTGGTTTATCCGCATCTAAAAGAGAAAAATGTATGGGTTGAAAACATTTTTTAGTTTGACATCGAATTCTTTTAAATCTTATGCATAGTGTGAATTCACCCACAAAAAATTAGCATTGATATCTGTGCCGATATTGATGGCACGCTTCGATGATTCTCCTTTCTCCTCCGTCAAATCCTGCAGAATCTTCTCGAAGGTAGTCTTCATCAACAACTATAACATTAGGAAGGAGAATCGTCGACGCGTGCCACCAATATCGGCACAGTATCTATACAAACAAAATGTTCAAATGCTGCTAAAGATAAATTTTATCATTTATTTGTTGTTTGTTCAAAATGAATAAATATAAAAGAGATTAAATTAATCATACATACTACATTATTATGCCAGTAGACAACGTGAGCTTAAATTATGAGATAACATTCTAGGTGATAGATGCTGCCTAAGGTTTATTCCATTTTTTTATGTTCATGAAGTTATATCAAGTCTGATGGTGATCCTTAACACAAGATCGAAAGTTCACTTCATTTCTTTTATATTTATTAGTTTCTTCCTTTTCTTGTTACATTTTTATTTTCTCAGAAAATGTACAACAAAGTTAAACGAAAAAAATCGCAATTCTTTCAATAATATTAACAAAAAAATAGAACCAAGAAATTTCTATATACTCTATTCACGATAACAAAAACAGCGATTAGATTGATGTTATAGTATTACATTGGCATGCAAAAAAATGTCTACATATTTTGGTTTGTTGCCGTGGTTACTTCAATTTTTTGCATTTTGCAAGGTGGCGGTGATGCTGAATTGCCCAGGTCGAGCATTACGGCTACCAGAAACGGTCGTATACTACCGTAAACGTTAACATATACTGCCGTTTCTCATCGTAAATGGCCGTAACTTGACGTTTTGGTATGCACCGTATTACGGCCGTAACTGATCATGTCGTAAACGGTTACTAACGACCGTAATGTGGTCGGATATTTCCGTATCCGACCGTATCCGATCGTTTATGGCACGATACAAAACGACCGTATTACGGGTGCATACCAAACGGCCGTGTACGACACAAGTTGATCGATCTGGGTGGATGAACCATCTTGAATAATCCCATTGTCACGAGCCTTCTTCAATTGTTCGTTGAGCTCTTCCATTTCTTTATTCATTTTCGTCACGTATTTTTTCATGTCCTTCATCTACTTCGAGACTAAGGCATTAAGCTTTTCCACTTGCACATTGGATTCTTTTAACCTGACTTTTAATTCTTTGTTTTCCTCTTTTAATGAATTCAGGTGCATCTGTTGATCTTTTTCTGCCTTGTTCTAAAAAAAAATTATTTCTATCTATTTTATGATTTCTTACTTCAATATCCCAGGTCGTTCATTCCTACAACTGGATCCAATCGGATCTGAAAACGGGTTACCTCGGATCTTGTATGAGAACCCACTAGAATCGACAGATTCCGGATTTCGCACCGAGATTCGGATCCATAGGATCGGAATCCGATACATATCCGATTGTATCCTACTCTTGGATCCGATACTAGTGGCGCAACCAGGGGTGAGCATGGTAGGGCACTGCCCTACCATTGCTAATCTTTGCCCTACCACCCCGAAAAAATATGAAAATTTTTAAGATTTCTGTTTTTTATTTACTGTTAATTACAATGTTAGAAATGCCTGTTCGAGAGCGGTATTCGTTTTTTTTACAATTATTCTAGCTAAATTCGTTGATTTTGGCAAAGCGCATACCTTGACTAGTACTGTTATTAATCAAATGAATGAACTTCGAAGTGAAGAAGAATTTTCTAGGCTACTTGGGCAAATAACTGAATTTTATGTTGAAAATAATATTGATCTTAGTGTTAAAGTTAAACAAAGAACAATTTCAACAAGATTTTTAAATTGTTTAGTTACCAGTAAAATAGGACAATGTGAGGAAATATACGGATTTTGTTTTCTATCCGATAATTGATTCTATCCTTGTTGAAATGAGTAGAGGTATGACAGTTCAGTTTTAGTTCCAATCAATAGAGCTATTCGAATAGATCTCATAAGAGACGCATATTTCAATATAGACACCATCCCAGTGTAGATCCTAACAGCTCTTAGATCTGAGAACTGTTATACCCCTAAAAATGAACGATCGCTTTTCAAAAAGTAATATGAAAATTCTTTGTGGTATCTCATCTCTATCATCCGATAGCTCAACATTTTTAAAGGCGGAAGAATTAACAGATAAATGCATTATGTTACAATGTGATATTGTATCATTGTCTAATGAAATTCAAGTATTAAAGCCTATGCTCAAACAATCAAAATCGGAAGATGTAGTTGATTTATTTTTTGAATTTTTACCATTAGAACAAGCATTCCCCACGATTATATATCTTGCTATCGGTGCTTTGACTATGCCCGTGTGTTTAACCACAACAGAGCGAACATTCAGTAGATGAAATTAATCAAAACTAGTGTACGTACTCGTATGTCGGACGATACACTAAATGATTTGTCTTTATTGGCTATGAAAGAGATTTTGTTGTTAATAATGAAAAAATAATTGGTGCTTTCGCCATTCAGCACAAAACAGTCGAGTATTGTTGAAATAACTGCTATTTATTTATGTATTTGTTTTTCATCTTTTCTCTTTATTGTTCTCATAAATTCACTTAATATAGCAGTATAGATACATTGAGTAATCCTTTTTTGAGAAAGTAGAAATTGAGGATCTGGTTTTGGTCGCCGAAAAAAATCTGAGTTATAGTGGTGGATGGGCTTTTTAAAGGTGATAGGGCGGCGCCCTACCACTAGAGAATTTCTGGTTACGCTACTATCCGATACGTCAAAAAAATCTGCTACAGTCAACCTCTAAAAATCATTTTTGCACTAAATAGAATTTTGATAATTTTTTTAAGATTCTCCTGTCGGGTCCGTCAATAATTCTGAAACCCAGAATCCAATTGAATTTCAGCGGTTAGTAGGATGTTATAGGATCCGATAGAATTCGTTTTCGGATTAGTCGACCTGGGGTCTTCAACAGTGATGACGCTCAATACACTTCAAGTCATTTCTTACGTGTTAAAATGTGAGGGCTTAAATTTTATATCTGAAAGATAGAAAACCCTAGTCAACTCTCCCTAGAAGAATCCCCAGGGAGTCCCTAGGGATTTCGTTCTTTTGTGGGGACTCCCCGGGGAGTCGTCGGGGGAGAGTGGATTAGGGATGCTATCGGTACGCATGAGGCACGGAAAATTGGTATACGCACCGCTGCCATGCGGAGTTCGCGCATCGAATGCGTAACGTGAAGTTTATTAATGCACTTTAATAATTTTTCTATTGGTTGATTTTCGAAAGTAAACCAAGCGATTGACATCAGTTTTCAGTTTCAATATAGCCGCAGCAGCAGCGTTTCCCATGGAAATCTAAAGCAAAATGTACTGTACCGTCTGTATTATATGAGCAAAGTGTACCTGTACATTTTGTTTTCGTCAATAAAATGTGCCAAAGTGTACGAAAACCTAACTTTTCACAATCTAAAAAGCTAAATAAATTGTTAATTTTTTCTCTATTCAGTCCATCATAGAATTGAACCCAGGATATCACACTTTACCATAATTTAAAGATAATGCATAGTTTAATATTACGTACAGTTTTTAAGGCTCAGAAATCAAAGTGTAAAATGTTTTACCAAAGTGTACACTGTAGTTTACAACGATTTCCTGTGCTTTCATGCAGGATACGATGGTTTTCCCGCATTTTCCTGCCGGCTCCCGCAATATCCGTTCTCCAGAATCATTAATCTGGGATGTTCTGTACATTTTGCTTCTGTTGTTTACGCTTGTTATTGGAAACACTGAGTAGCAGTGTGCATTTGTGCTCAGAAAAACAAAGTGTACAGTATACTTTGTTTTAGATTTCTGTTGGAAGCACTGCTGAGAGCAGTACCCATAATTCTTTCACTCTTTCATTAATACATTTATAATCTATTTCTATTCTTCATATCTGATAGGCTCAAATATGTTTTTTATTAGTATTATTTATAAGTTGTTGTTTTTCTTTCTGTCTAGACTATAGACTACTTATTATTTTTCTTTTTGTTTACTACAAAAACAGAATGGATTTAACCATGAATTTATCAATTCGTAAGCCGGAACAGCGGATAAAACAACAATCTCAGCCATATGTTCTAATTCCACCTGCTGTTCAACAACGTGTTATGCAACAAACGAAGTATGTTCAATTACTTAATGTTATTGAAGAAATGGGTAAAGATACTAAACCAACATATGCGGGCAATACAAATTCAGCTGAACGTTTACGGCGTGCGATTGCATCAGCTCGTGTTCTGGTTCGAGAATGTCAACTTGAATGTGATCGAGATAGTCGACCTTGAAACATATCAAAATTTATTAATAACAATTTCTGTATATATTTATAAGAAAAAACAAAATGTCTATCAATGTTCTTCTTTTGTTTCTTAAATATATTATTTCGTCGATCGAAAATATTCAATATGAAATTCGATCTCATTATTTTTCTTCTATTCATCTACGGTGAAATCTTTACAAAAACTTTTGATTTTTCTCTTCGTCCCAAACTATATGAAATTAATGCAATTTACTATATAATATGAAGAAAGACATATTTGACAAGTTTTAACAAGTGAATTTTGAAATAACAATCTTGAAATTCAAAGAACGAGATTCGCACTTGCAGTGTATACCAGTTTTTTTGTTAGGATATATCGAAACGATCGAGTCTATTCATCTTTATATAAAATATTATTTTAATAAATGAAATATCTTTTCATGAACGCTGTAGTTGAGTTTCACTTGTTCTATTGTGTTTTATTGTTTTATTTTTGAGCATTTATCAAGCGATTAGTTGACCTTACAGTTCACATTTACCAATTTTATCATAGAGAAATAAACAATCAATATGCTATTCATACGAGTGTGTGATAATATATTCTGGAGTACATAGTTATTCAAATTCGTTTCATTTAACTTGATTGAAAATCTATTCAAAAGATTTCTATATCAATTTTTTGTTATCTATTAATAGAAAATAAAATGTATCAACAAATATTCGTTCTTATACTAAGAGACAGAACAACACAATTGCAATATTGATGACAGTAGTGACAGGTACATTTTTCATGACAACTCTACTCATTTTCGAGTCGTTTGTAGTGATTAATATGAAAAACGATTTCTTCCAAATTATTTTTCTCTAAACATATATTTCTAAACAAAAAAATTTTCATACTAAAAATTTTATTAGAAATAAGGCACAGTCAAAAAAACTAACACCATATCTCTGTTTAAATAATTTTGAATCAGCATCAGCACTATTGATCTCATATTAGGCAAAAACAAAAACGAAAACTAAACACTCAGCTATCATACCGAAAATAAAATAACTGTTTGTAATTCAAATATCTATCAATTTATAGTTACCAGTTCATCGTTACCTATATAAACTATTTCATAGTTGAATCGATGCTAATTCTGCCGGGTTGTTTCTAGTTTTGAAAATGGCTACAGTTTTTCTATTTTTGTTTTTGACTAAATTTCGATAATTTAGCAGAATTGTCTTTTTTTTATTGTCAACAAAAGTAACAAAAACATGGTAAATTAATTCTGTTTTAGATAAGCAAAAGTCAAATAGCCTGTATGACCAGGCATTACTAAAGGACCAATAGCTGTCAACATTGATTCAGTTTCTCTTGGTTGTCTTTTAGCTGTTGTTTCTGAATCATTTTTAAGTTTTTTATTTGGTGTTTTCTCTTCATCATCATTTTCATCAACATCATCATCGTTTGGTTCTCTCTTGTTTGAGTGTGTATCAATTTTTGCTTCTTGATTTTGATCAGCAGTAAAATTAATTCTACTTCGATGTTGATAACGAAATTCATGTACACGACGTAGACACTCAACTGTATTGATTTCTTCAAAACCATTCGTACTCAATCTTTGACAAGTACGTTGAACTTGTTCAATACATGGTGAAAATGTACATAAACGTCCACCTAATAAAATCAGTAAAGAAAAAAACAGTAAAAATAGTGATAAAGAAAAACTTTTCTCAAACCTGATTTTTTTAGAACTTTCATGACATGCTCTATGGCATTCCATGGTGCTGGAAGATCAAGAAAAACTGCATCAGCTATATTTTCATGTTCAAAGCCTTTTTCTAGTACATCACGATGTTGAGCTGTAACAAATTGTGATAGACCATGTTCCTAAATAAGCAGCAACAACAACAACAAATTTATTGTACTCTATAGAACACGCAACTCGGCTTACCCGAATATGTTTACCTCAAATTCATTTCGAGCCAAAGTCGAGCGAAGTTCATGAAATTCAAATGTATATAAATGACCATTTGGACGTAAAGAACGTATTATTGAATGAGACAACGATCCACTACCAGTTCCTAATTATCAATATAAACGTGGTCTTAATCTATAATTGTTTCTATGTTAAATCAAATCTAACCTGCTTCAATAACGATTGAACCTGGTTTAATATCTAGTTCAAGTAGAATTAAACTAATATCAGCCATATAAAGAATTTGAGTACGATGTGGTAATGCCAATGTCCATAGCTCTACGATTATTATATGAAATAAATCTATTGAGTTTAATTAGTACCTATATACCTGGTATGACAGATAATGCATGAATATAGCCTTTCGTGCACATGATTTTACTTCCGAATTCTTTACCAACTAGATCATTATGTTTTAAGGCACCGAATTTTGTTTGATATACTTCATTGGTTTTCACTTTAATAACATGTAAATTATTATAGCCCAAATAAAGTATAACTTTTGAACCTTCTTGAATTAAATTTGTCATAATACTTTATCTAGTTTTTTTTTAATAGATCTGAAACAATTTATTATCACTATTTAGTCACTTTTATTCTGACAACAACGTATCGAAAGCTGCCAAAACAAAATTAGAAAATATTTAAGTGCTCATGTTGAAACATTTTTTTGTAGAGATAATAATTTTTCTTCCAGTTCATCAGGTTTAAAAACGCCATGTTCTGTTATAATACTAGTTATCAAAGCTGCCGGTGTTACATCAAATGCTGGATTCCAAACTTGAACACCTAAGAAGATAACAGTAAAAACAATAACAGAAAACTTCATAGTGATAAAAGAGTATTCAGAAATATTTTACCTTCTGCAGCAATATTTATTCCTTTGATAGTTGTCATTTCTCTTGATGGACGTTGTTCAATAACAATTTCAGCCCCTGTTTTTTTATCTAAATCAATAGATGTTGTTGGTGCAGCAATATAAAATGGTATATGATGATATTTAGCAAGTATAGCCAATTGATAAGTACCAATTTTATTAGCTGTATCACCATTTGCTGTTACACAATCAGCACCAACAACAACTGCATGAATAGGTTGTGTTCGCATCAAAAGACCGGCCATTGAATCACATATCATGGAATGTGGTATACGATCGTGTACTAATTCATAAGCCGTTAATCTTGAACCTTGATTATATGGTCGAGTTTCAGTAAAATATACTAATTTAAGATCATTATTTGCTGCTAATTGCCGAACAACACCAAGAGCTGTACCAAAGCCAACAGTTGCCAATGAACCAGTATTGCAATGAGTTAAAACAGTTAATTGTTTTGGGGTCGGATTATTGTTACGAATAGTTTCAGCGCCGTAACGACCGATTGATCGATTATCAGCAAGATCATGTTCGAGAAATTTTTCCATGAAATCGAGTAGATCATCAATATATAACAATAAGTCTACTTGTTTATTACTCAATGGAATTAAATAATCAATAATAGTCGCGGCAGCTTCAGCCATATTTACTGCGGTTGGCCGAGCAGTTGATAAATAATTCAATTGATCAGTAACAAAATGTTGAACAGCTGCAATAGATTCAAATTTAGATCGAGAATGATGTAATTCAACAGCAAGACTTAATACACCACATACAGCTATTGCAGGAGCACCTGGAAAAAAATATAATATTAGTTAAAAAGTTTCTTCTTGTATTTTCTATGTATCAGATTCTCTAGACTCATTATATTCAAACAAAGTAAACCTAACAAAAAAATATTTCTAGTAAACTCTGAAGTTGTTTTCTAAAAATAACTAATCATAAGTAAAAAAAGATGTAATCGATGAAACTAGAGATAACTTGTTTTATTTCTCTTGAAATCAGCATCTTCATACTATTGATAGTGCATAAATATCGATCAATTTTCGCTGATATCTCGATAAGGCTGAGCGTTGAATTTTTCTAATTCTCTCCATTCAATATATACCTCGAATTGACATTGTATGAATAGCTTTCCATGCATCATCGACTGAATGAATAGGAATATAGATAGATTCGTCTGGTAATTTTAATTGATCCAAAATTGATAATAAACCACGTTGATAACGAATCGATTGTAAAGTTTGATTGTCTTGCATAGCTAAAATTTAAAAAAGAAATAAAATTGTTGATGGAAAACATTTAAAATGAATTGTCAAATTGTTTGATTTATTTTGTTATTGAATTCATGTTGCAGTTGCCAATACATAAAGCATGAGAATGAAAACACAAAAAATATTAATAAAATAAAATAAAAATGAAAGACAGGAGATTAACTAAGAGTAAGGAAAGAAGATCACAAATATTTTGTTTTCGAAAAAATGTCAGTTTAATAATTAGAGATTCTTTAAATGTTGGATTTTTTTTAGATTACTATCATGGAGAAAGAATATCATCATCATGTGCGTCCAGTCCCGATTCATCAAAAAAATATCCAGCCCGTGGTGAAGTCCTTTCACAACGGCAACAAAAATCACACCCATCAGCAGCTAAACCACCCATTTTACGCCACATTTCTAAATTGGGAATATGTTCAATACCACGGGCTCCATGTTTCACGTGCATATACACAGCTCCCAGAATTAAATAGGCAGCTGCTAAACTACCGATACTAAACAACATAGAAATAGATGATTTATTAAATAAAAAACTTTCAATATATGGTCACTCACACAATAAGAAAGATGGCACCGCCACTTAATTTATCATCTTTCTCTACAATTGGGCACATCTCTGGAACTTGCAATTGAAACATATAGTTGCACTGTTGATTAGATGTTGTATGTGCTTGGAGAATTGTAAGACCAACCTAGAGAAATATGTGACCCACATTAAGTAAAGAGTATGCTTGTTTTTATATATACATATTGCAAAATTTAGAGGAACTTTCATCTCAAACAAATTCTTTGACGGGAAAATAATTGATATTAGAACTTCTGAAAGCTTGACACTGATGAGGAGCGTCTTCTTACTAAAGCACGACTTAAATCAGCTATAAATATTATAAAAAAGATTTCGTATCTTCAGTTTAGCATTATGAAAATACTTCACTTTTATGATATTTCTTAAAGAAAATAGATTTCGTATTACCCTTGTGAAACATCTAGAAAGAATAAGTTTCGATGTAAAAATTAATACAAAAGAAAAGTCTCAATGAGAACAATTTTTAGCAATAGTTTAAATCAAGTGCTTTGTTTGCCTAGCTACTTACTCAAAAACAGTAAATAAGGCACTGCATGTCAAAGGATTATCATATTTGTAAAGTAATGTAATAGAAGTGAAGCAATCTGAAATATTCACAAAAAAGCTGTTGTTCTTACTAAATGTTGTTACTATGTAAGTTTGACTTGGAAATGAGAAAATTAATTTTCTGATAAAGTTTCATGGCATTTATTTATGAGAAATTTTACTAAACTACAGTGTATGTGTGTATATTTCACGTAGTCTTGATTCAACGACAATTTATCGTTTGGAAGAATTCTCTCATAGATTCGACATGAATGAATGAATTGTGCCAATAAACTAGATATAAAACACTGAAGAGTCTTGTCGGATATTTACAATCTCTAACAGAAGTAATTTTTGTTTCTCTTTGAATGCAATTATGAAAGAGAGACTTTAGATCTTACTAACCATATTTGATCCACAAACAAACATAATCGAAGCTGATCGTGTTAAATTATTACAAATGGCATCGTATTCATCACCATTTTCATAAGTTAAAAGGATCCATTTATCTAAAAAGAAATTCTTTTTTTTGCTTTTAGTACAAACAACAATCAACAAGAATTTCTATTAACCTCCTTGAATAAGATTGACTTGATCTAGTTTTCCGAGAACATAAGAAACATTACTTTCTTTTTGAATAATAGCTGCTACATCAGTTGCGTTAAAAGGCGATGAACATATTCCAACAGAAAACGTTGATTCCCTACTAAACACTGTTAAACTAAATAAAAACAATTGAATCAATGATAATTAAATAAGAAATAAAATATTTACGTGTTTCCAAAGATTTTCCATTTCTTCATATTGTCATAAACGTTTTTCGTTGATTCATCTTGATTAATATGGCATCCACCATAAACTAATGAGCAGTAGACAATTAAGAAGAATACTGTGCATATGATAGCCATCTAGAAAATATTTTCTTATACATCATTTTGTTTAATGGTTTCGTCTTTCAAATCATTAAAACTACGCTATGCATGATTGAGCAAATTGTAAAGAAATAGCATATTTAGTTAACAGTCATTCTTTCTTTCTGTGCTACTTTTTCTTCTTGTTGATTTTTATTTTGATTGCTTGCTTGCTTCCTTTGATTGAGTCCATTGCACAAGAGACAAGAAACAAGAGAGAGAGAGAGAAAGAGTAGCGACGTGTGCCATTCATAATAATTTTAACGGCAAAGATAGTAAACACCATCACAAATTGGATGTATTCAAGGTTAGTTCACATAATTTATTTCGTTTTTATAAAACTAAAATGAACCGTTACGAGATTTTGTATTCTTTATTGTGAATAAGTATCTATTCGTGTAAATGAAACTTATCTCATTGATATCTATCATATACGATGTGCTTCTCTTCTCTTTATTATTCTTCTCCGTTCGTCAATTCTATTTGAATGAATAGTTCTACACGAAAAACATCCACGAGCAGGAAAAAAACAAGATGAGACAGAGAAGAATAACGAAAGTATACAGAATCATTTTCTGTCTGTATCAAGTAAGTTGTCTGGCTTCGTATGTCTAATAAAGACAAAAAAAAATGCCGTTTTACCATGCCTTTTTCAGTATATATACTCAAGGTTGAACAAGAGCAGAAAAAAAAGAAACATATCTTGTGATTTTGAAAACCATAAAAATCTTCAATATTTGAAACTTATTTCTTTTAGTTAAATAATGTCAAGCTCAAATTCATCTGCAAATCGTCAACATTTAGCATTAAAAATCGAATTAAGTGAAAATATTCTACAACGCGTCGGTGATCGTCATTGGGATTTATTTGAAACACGTTTAAAAAATTCATTATCAAAAACTAATAAAGAAAATTATACAAAACCAAATGATTACGGTATAGTAGGCCCTTGGAAAAAGGCTGATCCATCTCAAGCGCCAATTGAGCCTACTCAACGATGGGAAACATTTTGTTCAAAATTAACAACAAAATCAAATGAAACCGGTCGTCTGGTGTCTATATTTCGTAATATTTGGATTAATAATTGGAATAGAACACAAATAGAAGAGAAAACTAATTCAAATTTAAATGAAAATAATTTTCTAAAACGATTATCAACGAATGAACATGATAAAAAAATTATTTCTTCAATACTTCATCAAAATATTTAATTAAATATTATTTTGTTTAGTTAAGAGAAGAAGATTAACGAAACTTTTTCTTCTCAAGTTAATAATATATATATATATACGTTTTGTATTTTACTAGACTTTTTACTATATCTTATCTGATTGTAAATTTTTTTCTATATAAAACAAAATAACTGATAGCTTATGTATTTAGACTGAAGAATTTCAATTGCATGTATCCTTATCTGTTCATATGTTTACGATAAAATACATCTGAAAATCGTTCCCAACCATCGACAACAAAAGAAATCTTGCTCAGCTCACCTACATATTTGCAAAAGATATATTGTATAAAATATTAATCATCAGTTCTTAAATAGCTTACTGTATAAGAAAAAAAAATAATGATAAATATAAAACATCCATTAAGGCCAAACGTGGTAAATGATTGTCGATGAAAATTCTACTCGAATCCAAAACTTCTCGAGAGAGGTCGCTCCTATCGTTACATAGACGTAAAAATTATACTAACAACCTTAGCAGGTGATAGTCATTGAGGTATATAACTATGGTCGATTAAAGTCAAAGTTAGTTCAAAAATGAATAGAATTTAATTTGAACCAAGTCTCATGCATTCTTTACTCTACGAGTATGTATAATAAAAAAATAAATAGAACTTTGTAACATATGTGAATGCACAGAAACGTATCAAACTAAAATATTAACCACAAAACTGAGAAGTAGATATAGACAACATCCGTTGAAATGAATCTTTTTTTGTAGAATCTTTTTTGCTATTTGTTTGTCTGATGAAAAATGTCTTTGATATTATTAGTATTCAATTTATTTAACGCATGATTAGAAAGTAATTGGACAAAATATTTACAATTGGTTTTCAACATCTTAAACTGTTGAACATAGTTTTTAATATTCCTCTACACGTTTTTATTTAAGCATTATCTCGTGAATTTTCAGTGGCGGCAAAACTAAGTTTCAACAGAGAAAATTAACGTTTCTCTTGCAGCAAGAATCTCCTTTCCCTAAATGCGTTATTTTACTAAGTTTTTCCTATAAAAGTCACAGCAAGCAATTATTCTGCCAAGCGATAAAATAGAAAAACAATTTCAGAAAAAATGACCTAACATGCAATGCGACTCAATGTTCTATAGAAACCGAGAACATTAATTTGGCATCCTCTTCACTAAAACAGTCACCATTGATAAATGACTTCTGTCAAATTAATCATTCGTATGCTATTCTATAGAGAAATATTTAAAAGCATGTTGGTTTTTGCTTTGAGTAATTTGGCGGTATAGTGAGCTTTGCGTCCATCATGAATTTATCAACCTCGTAAAAGTCAATAATTTATTATCGCTAAGTAGAAATTTTGAATGAGATTTGAAATCCGCAGACTTCTATGAAAGACAAAAATATGAATGAATATTATGTCAAATTATTTGTTGATTGATTGTTAGACATGATTTTTATTAGGATCATCTTCTTTTGTTTTTTTTCCCATTTAGATAATTCTTTTCGAATAGGTTACAATGGACTTTTACTATTTTTCTGTTCACAAACAACAAAAGATGTGAATTCTTCCGACACTATTAGTTGTGTTTTCATGGTGAATAATATGTTGGAATTCAAATCATGATGTTATTTTAAATGTTCTTATTTAGTTACAATAAAATGAAAAACTTGAGAATTATTAGCCAAATACTGAATATTTTGAATATGATTTGATGTCTTCATAGTCAGAAAATTTGTGAAATTTCGTACAATATCTTGAATATGATGAGCAAGAGTTAATTTATCTTTATCAATCTGACATTGATTTTGGCTCTGTTGCTCTATTGATGTTGTCTGTTTATTTATCATTATTATGTATACATATTTACTTGCTATTATTAACTGCTTTCACTTCAGGCGAAGATCATCAGAAGGAAAAAAGAATAGATATTCTGGCTACGAGGGAAAATCTTATCAGTAAATAAGAAAATAGGCATCTTGCATGTAGTTTATAGACTTTCCTTCTTTGATGAAAATTATGATATAAGATCACAATCTTGCAATCTTGAAAAATCCAATTTGAAACGCCCTATCGAACTTGAACGATTGATATCAAATTAGAGGAGAATCAAATCTAATGTGAACACAGGATACTATGAAAGTTGTCTCTGATCTTGATGCCACAAATAAAGTATGACTTTTCCTAGATGAGTAAAAACAATATGATGAAGAGCACGCAAATGTAACAATAAGTCTTTGTTTGTTTCAGTCTATTTTCATATATTTCTATTGATTCAACATCCATTAGTCATAGCTGCCAGCGACAGAAATATTAAGAAAAACATTCAGACAATAGAAAAAAGTCTGTTTATAAATTGACACAATTTGGTTCGTTCCAAGAATGGTTTATATCAACTAGCCAACATTTACATACATATATGTGTGCATAAATATAGAAAAGTTCATCAAATGTCTTCTGCGCTTTGTTAAAGAAATACGATTAAATTTATATAAATAAATATTTTTTTCTTGTAGAAAAAAATGCTGTCTACTTAATTATAATAATGAAATTAAAATGCAAAATAGTTTGTTCTATTTTTTTTTGTTTTGCTTTATCCAACCTAGATAAATGTATTAAAATTTTGGTTGTAATATGCTTTTTTTTGAAAGTTCAAAATCCCAATTGAAAATAATTGAATAATGTTGAGTTATCATGCATCATTATTTGAATATTTTGAACTCTCATGTTCCGATTCCGAAGTAATTCCTCGATGATGAGTTGAAGATACAGGACCACCATAAAATCGTCGAATATACATTATTGTACATATTGTCATTAAGATAAGAAAACCAAGACTAATACCAGCTCCTAGATAATAATAAAGGCGTGGCTCATCGATACCTTTAGATGTTGCACCAAAATAAAATAGTAGAATCGTAAGAATAAGTAAGATAAATGAGAAGAAAAGACATGCATGTATGCATCGTTCTTGATCGGTCAAGTTCGACCGAGTTAGTGTATCACGACGTCGAAAGAAAAGCATTATGATCGAAATATCTAAGAAAACAAAGATCTAAATAGATAACATATATGTGCATACATGATAAATATGTATTTGTTATTATGTTTTATATGAATGTCGAAATACTTACAATCTCATTCACGGTCGATCAATGTCAATCTGATTGTCGCAAACTACTCTATCAATAATAATTATACGCATGTAGTTCTGTTTATAATCTGAAAGAAAGATGTGAAATCTATTTATCACATATTAGCTGACGGGTGTAACGATATTGGCACTCAACATTGTGGTATTATTACAGATTTTTTTCTTGCCAATAAAAAGAAACGCAGAGAAACAATAATCTGTTAGAAGGGAGGAAGTTAATAGAATCAATAAGACGTGTATCTTCAAACTTTGTCGTTAGTAGCATTATAACAATCACTCGTGCATGTAATAACGATGGCGTTGTCTTTAATATTTTTTTTATCTAAGGTGTGAATAGAATCTATTATCACTTATCTGTTTTTATTTGTCATCCTAAATCTACGACTCACCTGTTCAGTTATAAGCTGGCTAAGAAAATTGCATTACATTACCAAGACGAAATTGGCATGGCATACATTTTTTTTCTCGTTAAATATATTTTTAAAAAAGGAATTATTTATTGCACACAAACAAACATACTATTCTCAGTAAGTCTGTTGAGAAAATAATGCCGCTATTTCTTTCATTAAAGGATGTAAAACATGTTTTTTCCCTTAAGTAATATTCTTTTTCACATGATTTCCCACTAATCAAGCCAATTATTCACGTTGTATACACTGGGCGTCTAGAGCTGCACATTGCTATAATTTTCACATTTTATCAATCGCATCACATTATAGTTACTTAGACACAGATAATCTTAAAAATCATGAAAGCGGTTGCACTATATAAAGCAATCTTTGCTTTTATTATTATTATTATTATTATTAACATAATACAAAAAGTACGACAATTTAAACGACAATTTATAAATAAAAAGAAATAAAAATCAAACAAGAATATTTACGGTTTCTGCTGCCATCCTGATCTATCAATTGCTTAAAATTAATAAAAATTTTTTGCCTGACATCAAAAATTGAGCAAGCTAATATAGTAATTCTGATTTACCACATTCAAATCTCATATTAGGTGTGTTTTATAGAATTTAAAGAGAGAATAAATAGCACTGAGTAACTTGATTCAGAAAAAAAAGAAACGACAATTATATATCGACTCACTTTAGCCACTAGAAGAGACCTTTTCTATTTCATATTATTCATTCATATTATTTGCTCATTCCGCATGTTACAGTCAGCGGAGGAGGAAAACCAATCGTTCAATTCTTTTCTTTGTTCCATTCACAACGGTGTAAGCAAATGATAGAAACACAAGAACGAGGCGTAGAAAAATAAAAGCTACTCATAAGAATCAATGCTCATACATATGATCATAATAGTTTTTATGTAGTTTATACTTTAAAAAGTACTTTTTGAACAAAATCTAGACGATTATCAATGTTGCTTTGACCCCTACAGAAACAATATGAAGAAAAGTAACGTTCTACTATTGAGTACGTCTAGATGTCTAGAGCGTGGACCGCAGATAATAACTGCTACTAGTGTGGATTTATGTGCAAAACAAAAAAAAGAGAACATTCATTGAGGGAATGAAAACTTTTTTACACCCTTCATTCTTCGTCGTCAGCAATGGTTCATTTTCTTTTGAGTTTGAGTTATAGTCATCACTGGTTACTCCTTATTCATCGTCTCCGATCTTTTTCTTTCTTGTTTTCTTTTGCTGTTTCCAAGTTTTTTCCGACGTCATGAATTATCGCAAACATACACTCACTTACATGTTAGCAAAGTATATTGCTTTTACATATTCACACATAAACATCTAAACGATTTCGACCATATATATCATAGAATGACGAGGCATATATATATATATATATATATATTATAAAACCGTATACAAAAATCAACGAAGCACATGGAATAAATTAAACTAATCTGATTTCCTTCAATTCATGACGTTGATATTTGAGCGATTTTTTATGCTTGAATCTTACTGAACGCTGTTTTGTTAGTTCTCCACAGAAATACAATATAACGATAGATAGATAGATAGATAGATCAATAGGCGATATAATGTAATAGATCTATGGAAAAAAAAGACACGAATGACAATGTAGCATTTATGAAAAATATGTCGAACATGATAAAAAAGAAAAAGATTTACAGAGGATAAAAAATGTGCAAAATATACCTTGACATCGAAATCATCTATTGACTTGACTAGCGATAAATTAAGGGTATTTTCTCGACCGCACTACTAGGATTCCTGTCCTACTTCTAGCATGTACATCTATGTACATATTTGTTTTATTTTCAATACAAATAAAATTCATTTTCATAAATTAAAATACATATTTTGCAAATATTTTCAACGAAAAATAAATTGATAGCTTTTAAAAATATACAACATTGATCTGGCATACGTACATAGAAACAAATATTCAAAGTTCGAAAACAAAACAAGCATTTGTATAACTAAAAGCTACATATATTAGTTGTGTCCAAATTATATTCGTCATTGGTTGCATTAATTAAATGAGTTTTATTATGATAATCAATAAGCTGAAGTGTTGCTGTTGGTATTTGCTGTTCATTTGTTGAATATGATACTTGAAAACGCGTTATGGATGTATTTGGAGCTAGTTCCTGTATAGTCTCTAAATGTTGTCCGATGTCTGTTTTTAGATCGCATGCAAAATATTTAATTAATTCACGTATAACCGCTCCATGACTAACAACAAGTATGTCAAGATCTAAACAATCATTTTTATCTGGAAAATCCGTCAGGTTTTTGCTGAAAATGCGTCGTTTTTCAATACTACTATTATATGATAAAATAGATGATGATGGCGATGAAAGATCCAACGTTGAATCTATCGATGATCCACATGATCTTGTTAAAATAATAGGACTGATTAATTGATAATGAATATTTTCTGTTGATATCGAACATATTCTATGTGAAATTTTTAAAAGTTCTTGATTAAGAAATAGATTTTCTGCTGAGACATAACGTGCCAGGTGTTGGGAAGTATCCTGTTTTGTCAGTAAAGTAGATGTACCATATTTAAGACAAATTTCTTTACACAAGTTTTCAAAAAAATTTATTGCACGTTTCCGAACTTGCGCAGTTGTTTCAGCACCCGACGGTGTGAAATTAATATAGGGAACGCCATTTTCTTTCGCTAACTCGCGTAACCATTGACGTGTACGTCCTTGAGCAATACCAAATATCTAGTTAACTCAAAAGTGCACCATATAATAAAATCAGCAATTTAAGTGCAAAAAAATAAAATAAAATCAACATTTACTCGTTCACGTAGTAAACTATCGAATTTGATTTCGCATGATGATACACGATTTAGTAGATGAATCAGATGAGCTGTCTAAAATAATTATATATATATATATAACTTACTCAGTAGTGTTTTTGTTTTGTTTAAAGCAAGATAGATAAGAACATACTTCTGCAGCACGTTTAAGATCGCTCGAATAAATATGTGTAAAACGGTGATATTGTAAATGTAAGCCAAGCGCTCTAGATTGGTGACAGCCAATATTAGATAATTCTGTATCAAGTATACCTTGAATAATACCTTCTGCATTCGCATATGTTTCAGCACTAAAAAGAAAACAGTCATTCTATATAACAAGAAAGAAATATGGATGATTTATAGACATTTACTGTCGGGCGAGTGTTAAATTGAAATGAATATAATTAACGTTTGGTTTATTTGACAAGATTAACCTATACGTGTATATAAAGTAACTGACAGAATAGTATAGAATTATTACTGACCTCATTGCAAAAATATGGTCCTTGTTGTGTCAAGAAAACATGTCTTTTTGTTGCTTCTATTCACCAGATAGATGTATTTTGTTCTAGACGCTAGTTAATCTATCACAAGACAAGACTTTATTTTCGGATGTCACCTATTGGAAAATAAGTACATGAATGTGAAAAAACCATGAGATCTGTTATCTATGAATATATATATTTTCTTTCTTTTTTCCTCGTATCCTTGTTTACTATTTGTAATTACTCAAAACCATGTTTCTCAGTTAAGACATGATATAATATATATATATATATATGCACAAGTAGAAGAAAAAGAAAACATCGAGTCTATCAGAACTCATAAAAACAGTCATTAATCAGTAACTAACTCGTTTTTTGCCATCATCATCATTTGTGGTTATGTGACAAATGTATCACTTGGTTTTCTATTTGAACATTTTCATGCATTTGGGAATACGTACATACACACTATAGAACAAATAAAATGAAAAAAGGAAAGATTATATAGTATGGTTTCTATGACTTTACTTCTATGATAGAAATACAGGTAAGACAATTCAAAGCTAAGGCAAAATGTTATAAATGATTTCAATCAATAATCGAACTTCTATTCTGTATTACATTCAAGATACTACAACAAGCAGACATTTCGATTTATCTTAAATAAAAATAATTTTTTAAAATTAGTTAAATTAAATCCTCTCCTATCTTACCCCTTTTTTTGGAAATCATTTTTTTCAAATCCTGATAATTCTGTTATGATAATATATCCGCTTGGAAAAAAATAATGTCACACGATATTCTTGATATATCATCTTCATACATTAACATTTTGAGAAATGTAATTATATATTCGGATAGCCCATGAAATTCTCTGTAACTCAATATATGTACATTTTGAATTGCATTCCTTCGCTAAAGATAAATTCAAGTGCAGTAAAGGCCCCCTTATCGTCAGATCCCCTGAAAATTCATTTAATGTACTCACGCATCACGTTCCTAGGTCTGACGTTGTTGAGAGTTCAAGCGATATCCCTGCGGAAAGTTGTTTATCTAAGACCAAACACTCCCAGCAGCAGTTAGATCAGGTTTGATGAGTGATTCGTTATTCATACCTCTTACGTTTTTAGCAGATAATCGTTCATAGGTTGCTGCATGAATTCATGTGAACTAGGATACAATAACAATGCTCGGAAAATTTGTCATCGACCGATTGCTAGTACAGACTGGCAGAGGTGCAGAATGATAAAGAATTTCACGCACTTTCAGAATATATACTTGCTTTTGTAATAACTTGTTCTACATTTAAAAGAACAGAAAATGAATTTTCGGGGGATCTGACGATGCCTTTACTGCACTTGAATTTATCTTTAGCGAATGAGTGCAATTCAAAATGTACATATATTGAGTTATAGAGAATTTCATGGGCTATCCGAATATATAATTACATTTCTCAAAATGTTAATGTATGAAGATGATATATCAAGAATATCGTGTGACATTATTTTGTTTTGCCAGGCGGATATAATGTAAAATGAAGTTATGCGAAGAAAAACACTTCAACTAATTAATATCTGTTTGAGACTTCTATCCCTAGAATAAGTCTCCATAGAATCACACATGATGCATCATAAGATCGTCGACAGACCGTTTGATTATTTATTTGGAGTGTTCTCGTCTACTACAAAAAAAAGAGTTGTTCAAACATGCAAAACGATGATTAAATAGCTATTTTAGACAAGCTTTCATTATTCAATTTACTCTACGACTTCTCTTCATTAATATAGAAAAGATTTTCAAGTTCATAGTTAAAAATAGCTAATCAACATTGAACTAAAAATCATCTTTGAATAACGAGCAACGCTCCTAAAAACATGAATATTTAGTGAAGTGTAATGTTTTCTTTGTTAATCTACTCATGAAACTATTTTTACAAAAATAAATCATGGATTTCAAGACTCGCTATCAAACTATTTAATGGATGCATTTTAAAAATAAATACATGAATAATATATCAACGAAATCTTCAACGATAACTATGCGATCGATGACAGTGACTCATCATTATTACACAATTTTTGTTTTTCTTGTGTCGTTTTGCATAAGAAAAAAGCAATGTTTTCTAACATTTACTTATTTCATCTTTTTAATAAATTTTTCAAAAATAACTTGTATTGAAGTATTGGTTAGTTTCTTTCAATTTTTGATTGCAATGGCACAAGTTGAAGATATCAATATAAAATTATTCTCTTTTGGCCATTCGTTTGGTGTTCCAATAGATGTTGATTTATTATTTTCAATACGTCATCTACCAGTTACTAACGTGGAGAACTACCAGCAATATGATGGACGACATCAACGGATACAAAATGAATTATTACATTTAGCAGAATACGAAGGTTTTCTTGAAACGATTATTGAACAATTGAAGAACTTTATTAATGAACATAACAAAAACTCTATAACAATAGCTGTTGGATGTGAACAAGGACGACATCGGTCAGTAGCTCTCGTTGAGAGACTTGGTGATTTGCTAGGGAATACTTATAATGTGAACGTTAATCATCGAGATTTAGAAAGAACAGGATATGAAAGAAGGAAACAAAGAGAAAGAACAAAAAATAGAGACAGAAAATATAATAATTATGCTGACAGTACCTAAAATGCTATTGTTTTCTCGATGAAAAATTACGATATAACTAATTTGTTCTATATATATTTTTTGTTGTCTATAGTGTTTCTTTTAAGTGTTACCAGCTGAGCACGTAGTTTTTCAACAAGCATAAAATTTCATGATATTTGATAGCTATTGCATTGTTAACGCTTTTATATAATAGAAAATAAACTAATCACAAAATTATATTGACAGAAGAAGAATTTTCTTTTGAAACTATTCATACATTTTGAGAAGGGCCACCGAGATTTGTAGGAAAGTGGATTTATTTATTTACTCTATTATTAAAATTAATTCGTGATAATAATACTACTGGATATTCGTATCTATACAGGCACACACAGCTGCACCTTGTAAAGAATGGAAAGTCATGAAATTCATCTAAAAAATATTTTGAGAACTTTTATTATGCTCATTGTTATTGACATTTAACAACGTATTGATCATGATGATCACGTATAATTCGAGATGAATCCAAGTCTCTCATAATTCAATAAGGAAATAAAAATAACATGCGATTCCATTGTTGTTGGAAAGCTGTCAAAATCGATTAAACCACCGTGCCAACTTCTAAATCAATTCGTTTGTTTCTGTTATAGAGAGTGCATAGTAAAATAGGCATAGTTTTTCAAACAAAATGTATTTTCCATTATTTTCAGCAAAACTGATGAAGAACAATGGTAATTTCTGGAAAAAAAGTATTTGACTTGCTGAGAAGTTGAGTTATTCAAAGATGTTGCATCCCGATTACATTAGCAAACATCTATAGCCCTTGACATATTATAAAACTAAATGTCTTCTGGTTTTTTTTCCATGAAAAGATCATATTTTATCATAAGAGAAAAATAAAAATTATTTTCCAATGATAATTGTTCTTTGAAAAATGAGTAGTCTGTATAAAACTTGTCCACAATTGCATAGTCATCAAACACAACGTAACTTTAATGAATATCATTGTTTATGGCGAGTGTTCGTTTTGTGTATTGCAATAGATATCGACAGATCGTTTTAAAATCAGACAAAAATTTGATAAAATAAATTCCCATATGTCTACTAAAGAGTATGTCTTTTTTTAGCTATATGAATCAGCTCTTGAAAAACCAATTGTACTTCTCAAATTTTAGAGCAAAGTGAAACAATAATGAGAGCTTTTATTTAGTACAAAACGTGATAGTACTAAACATTTTTCTATTTTAGAAAAATTTCTGTCCCTCTTCCTCTGTGGCAAATACAAATGTGTACAAGTTTGTTTACCTGCTATGTCTACGGAAGTAGTTTTTCAAAGATATAAAAAGCCGGAAGATTTCTTTTCAATGCGTTGTAAAAATGCACTCGAATGACACACGACTAAAATTATGCAAGCGAAATGTGATCTAATTTAAATTTTAGATTTTTACTAAAAGCATAAAATTCACAGATTGTTTTCTAAGAATCAATTTTTAATGGAATTAGTTCAAAACTGGTGTTTTATGTCATTCGTCCGACAGAAACTCTTTTAATCTCTTTAAATCTAATAGACCTAAGACATTTTTAGAATAGAACATGAATAAATAAATGACAAATCGACCTGTCCACGTAACAGTCCACCTTTCTGGGCGAATTCGAATTACACAACTAAACAAATCAAATATAACCATCTTGTAGAGCATTGTCAAAAGCGTAGGAAATAGTATTTTTTATCTATCCAGATATGCATATGTCCGAAAAACAAGCGTTGCAAAAGAGATACCTCACGCACTCAATGAAGACCATATATATGTTGTTGTTTTTGTAGTCTGTTTTTTCGCATAACGAAATACGATTTTTCTTAAGTCAACTATATCACAAAAAAATGTTTTGAATGAGCTGTATGTCCATATCAAAAGAAATAGCATTCACTGTTTTCTTGGAAAACTTTTGGGTATATGTAAATCAGTACCATTGGTGAGGTGATTCCGTCACGAAAATAGCTTTTAATTCATTTCTAGCTCTGAGTATCATATTTCAGATTTGTTTGATTAGCAGTCTAACGCTAATTTTTTATGCTCTATCCAATGCACCAACCACATTGACCTATAAACATTTGAGTGTAATAAAGCGAGTGTGGCGGAATCACCATCGGTTGGTATATATTTTTGACCAACATAATAGCGGCGTAACCAGAAATTTATGGGTGGTGGGGCTCAGCCCCAGACTGTCTGTCCACTTTCAGGTACTGATCAATTTATTCGTGAAGATTCATTTGATCTGACACATTTTCTTGAACTGTCACCAGTATACCACGATAGTCAATGAAATCGGCGGTATAGTGATAGTATGCCGTCGGCTCCTTCCAGTGTCGTGTTATGCCGACGGTTAGGGATGCGCCAAAACCATTTTTCTGTGCATAAAGAAAACACATCATCTTTATGCACAGAAAAATGGTTTTGGTGCATCCCTACCGACGGTCAAAAAATACCAATGATTGCTTTTTTTCAAATTGTCTATCGTAACTGTAATAAGAGCAGAGCGAACAAAACATTTGTTTTAAATATCATTTCACATTGAAAGATGGCTACGACCTTTATTTGTGCATGTCGGTGCGAATATAAATCGAAACTATTACTTTTATTCATATATTTCTATATTTATCTTTTTTAATTTTGAAACTCAATATTAATAATTGGTCTAAAACATTTTAGACGAAAATTCTCATCAGCTTTTTCTGCATAGAATGATGGAATGCAGAAAAATCAACAAAGAATTCATATTGATGCCGCTATTTGTAATCATATGATTTTAAGAAATAAGTGTAATTTGGCATACGGAGTCAATTGATTGTAATTTATTTCATAAAAAAATCATTTTATTTTGTGTATTTATATATATATATTGCTCTTTTTTCAGAAACAATAAGATGGTATATAAAAACAACTTCCTATATATAAATATACAAAATGCTTGATTGTTTTAGTAAAATTACTTACTCAAATTTTAGCTTAAATCAGATTAAATTAACTTTTTCAATCAAAAGATTACGAATGAGTNCCCCTGGTTACGCCACTACAACATAAGAGAACGTTTTTTTTCCTCATAATTTTCACTCTATATGAATGCATGAGTGCGCAGTTGTGATTTAGAAACATCAACGATTGGTCTGAAAGTTGGAACAGTAATCTGCCAGGTTGATTATTCCGAAAATTTTACGTTAGTAAATCAAGACCAAATACAATCGGCACATTGGTCAAATCAACAAGTTTCCGTATTTACAGCTTATGCTTGGATGAGCAACAGTGGTGGAGAAGGTTATTCGTTCGGTTTTGTAGCTGACTCGGCTAAACATGATAAATATTGTGCTATTACCTGTTTGGAAAATCTTGTTGAAGAAATTATCAACATTATGTCAGACGTTAATGAAATTATTTTCTTCTCAGATGGTGCTGCCCGTCAATTTAAGAATCGTTATGTTATTCAGCATTTAACAACCATGATGGACAAGTTCGACATTAATTTTAGTAGGAACTATTTTACATCATCACATGGAAAAGGAATTGTTGATTCCATAGGTGGTACCTTAGAACGACTTGTTTGGATGGAAATCATGACTGGTGTAATTTGCTCATCTGCTAAAGAATTTGTTGACATTTGTCGTCGTAAAACAAGAACAATTATTGTTAATCTTGTACAACAAGCACAATTTGATACAACACGTGTAACACTCGAAAATACTTTTTAAATAGTTTCTGGGATACCTGATGTTCGACAACAACATCATATTAATCAACTACATCTGAATGTAGTTGAATATGCTTTATATGCAACAAGAAACGAAAAGTGTGTATTTAGATTTTGACATTTTTTATAGATTATGTTGTCAGCAAAAATGTAGTCATTTTTACATTATTAGTATTGTTTGAAGTAGTTTTATTGATTATCGTATTGCACATGATATTTACGTTACGTGCTTATCTTGATGGATTATCTCTAACTTTTGAATAAATAAATTTTAATCAAATCATCAAAATTTTCAAAGCGTGATTCCGTCACAACGTTTTTTTCTGTTTATAAGAATTAGCTATGATATATTTTGAATTACTTTTTTTCTATATATAGCTCGTCATCTAAGCTATAACTTTCACATAGAAAGATTGTTGATACCACCTATAGCTGAGTTAAAAATTTTGTTTCTTTACTTAACACTCAAGCTCAAGGTCCATTTGTGGTGATTCTGTAACGATGCTATATTTCAATTACAAAAATATTCCGAATAGTATGAAATTTAATGAAACTTTTCTTATGCACCCAGGTCAATGATTCCGGAGGACGGATACTGTAGGAACCGGCCGGAAAGATGCGGAAAAATCACCGTATCTGGCCGGAAAGCACTGGAAACTGGAAGCAGTATTCCAGTTGGAAGTTACCGGATTTTTTTCCTGTGGATTCCGGTCAGTTTCCTGTGTTTTCCGGTCAGTTTTCTGTGTTTTACATCTGGAAGTTGATCGGAATCTACAGGAAGAAAATCCGGTAACTTCCAACTGGAATACTGCTTCCACTTTCCAGCGCTTTCCTGTGCTTTCCGGCCGTTTCCCGCCGTACGTCCACGACCTGGGCATAGAGCATAACTTCTACTGTTTCTTTCTAACAATATCAGCTTTATTCGACTTACATCAGTTGACACATTAAAGGCACAATCTTAAAAAACGTGATTCCGTCACGAATGGACAGGTCGAAATACAATTATTTTATGGTTTCATAAAGTAACTAAAAAATGTGCATACGTCGCAGCAAGGAAGTGAGTCAAATATTATTAACAATCAAAAAACAACAATTGTACACAGTTAACAGAGCTGTTTTTTTCTTGACGCAATGACTAAAATCAAATAAGAAAAACCTTTCAATGACGAAATCTGCCAATCGGCATGTTTTCATCATATAATACATTAGCCGCTATTTTCAATGCTTCCTTACTAAATAAATAACAGAACGCAATATGAATAAATTTTATATATATATAGTTGTATAAAGGTTCTGGATGTTCTAAGATTTCAGTGGATTCCTTTTATACGAATAATGAATACTATTAAAATCCATGCAAAACCTCAAGAACCAGTTTTAACGAAATTTGTACAACTGAGTGATTTGAAAATATCGACAGACAATAATAATCCCAAGTTACATGAAGATAATTCAACATTAATTAAAAAACTTCGAACTGTAGAAATAGTGTGTGAAAAAAACAATAGTTTTACCTATAATTTCCATTGTCTTTTGTTCTAGTATAAATATGCAGATGGCTTAGATATATTTCTATTGATTATTGGCACAATAGGTTCATTTGCTAGCGGTGCATGTCTACCATTATTATTATTCGTTTATCAACAAGTGATCGATGCTCTTGTGAACTATGGCAAATTGAATTATATTGCACAAATGAATTTTCAAAATCGTTCTCAACTATCGTGTGAAAATGGAGGGTAAAGTTTTAAACAAAAAAAATGCTTTTTCTTTTCTTACAAAAGGAGTCTTTTTCAATTTTTTAAGATTTGATGTTCCTAATAATACAACAAGTCCTATTCGAGCTATAAAAAATGTGGCTAGTTGGTACGTTCTATTGGGTTTTTTGAGTATTCTATTTTCTACGATTGCCTTTTCGGCCTATATGATATCAGCTGAAAGACAAATACGTCGAATAAGGTTTGTTTATCTGATTGTCAGTGCAAGAATAATAAATTGAAAATATTTAGATTTCGTTTATTTCGTAATATTCTCTATCAAGAGATGTCCTTTTTCGATACACTTGGTGGCAAAGGTAAATTAAGTAATATGTTGACAGATGATTTATTGAAAATAAAAGACGGCATTGGTGATAAAATGGCCGATTTTCTATCATTATTGGCTCGTATGATCGGTTGTCTTATTTTTGCACTTGTCAAAGGATGGAAATTAACTTTAGTTATTTTGGCTGTTGCTCCACTCGTTATTATAGCTTTCAATTTAACAATTAAATTTACTATTAAATATACAAAAGAACAAATACATGCATATGCTAAAGCAAATAGTATCGCACAAGAAGTATTGATTGCAATACGTACTGTAACGGCTTTCAATGTACAGAAAAAAGAATATGAAAGGTTTACTGAAAAGACTAGGTTTATGTCTTCGATTGTGTTTATTTTTTGTTTGCTAGATACGCAAATAGTTTATTAAAAGTACCGTTGATTGGAATTAAAAAAGGTATAGTTCAAGGTTTATGCCAAATATTTTCAAATATTGCCATTGGTATTGTATTTACGGCTGCACTTTGGTATGGACAATATTTAATTCAAACTGAATGTCTTGCTTATTCCGCTGGTATACTTGTTACTGTAAGTAGATTTTTATGAAAACGATATGACGAACGACATGATTCTTATCGATTTTAGATAATTATTGCTTGTTTAAATACAACATGGTGTCTTAATCAAATAGTTCCTAGTTTGGAAAAATTTGCTGATGCTGCAGCTTCTGGTTCATTCATTTTTGAGACAATATCAAGAGTATGTTAAGATAGATCAAAAATAATAATTCTTCTATGATTATTTGAATTAGAAATCAAAAATCGATGCATCATTAGTAGATGAAGGTGAAAAACCAGTGTCGTTTACAGGAGAAATAAAACTCGAAAACGTTCAGTTTACATATCCAGCTCGCCCAGAACAACCAGTTCGTTATATTCAATTATTTTTATGAATATTAAAATAAATAAATACTATTATAGATCCTTCAAACAGTTAATCTTACAATTCCAAGTGGTAAAACAGTCGCCTTAGTTGGACAATCTGGTTGTGGAAGTAAAATTTCTTATAATAGTGATATTTTATTTTCTCTAATATTTTTGTACATACATTTTGTAGAAAGTACAATATTTTCTTTGATAATTCGAATGTATGATCCTGATGATGGCCAAGTAAGAAAAATCAGAATTAATGTAGAGATAAAGCATTGTAACCATCGATCTTTTTTCTGTATCTCAGAACGTAAGACATGCTATCATAAATTCCATTGAATAACACTTTTCAGGTGAAGAGTAACAGCAATAGAGCTTGTCGATTACAAAAATTTTGCATCGAAACTCGATCCATACTCATAATACTATCGATAGTTTCTCTGAAGATTTAAAATACTTGTCTGTTCAATTCGATTTAAAACGTAGCTTTGTCGTCTTTCAAATATTAATTTTCTAGATACTCTTCTAATAGCTTTTACTTTTAGGTATTACTAGATGGTCGCGATATTCGAAAATTAAATATTGAATGGCTTCGTTCACAAATTGGATATGTTGGGCAAGAACCTGTATTATTTTCCGGCACAATTGCAGATAATATTCGGTTGGGTAAACCTGATGCTACAGAAGTTGGTATAACAATGTTTAATTTACTAAAAGAAAAATTTGCACATTAATTTAGGAAGAAATCTATGAAGCTGCTAAAATGTCAAATGCTCATAGTTTCATTCTTGAATTACCTGAAAAATATCAAACATCAGCAAAAGGAATGCTAAGTGGTGGGCAAAAACAAAGAATTGCTATTGCTCGTGCCATTATTTCGGATCCAAAAATTTTACTTTTAGACGAAGCAACTTCAGCATTAGGTAAAATTATAAATCTATCTTTGCCATTTGCCATCGATTTAATTATTATTAATATATGTATGTAGACAATAGAAGTGAAAAAATTGTACAAAATGCATTGAACAAAGCAAGTCAAGGTCGAACAACAGTTATCATTGCACATCGATTAACCACTATTCAAGATGCTGATCATATTCTCGTTTTTGATAAAGGACATATTATAGAACAAGGTACACATGAAGAATTGTTACAAATTGAAAATGGACTTTATCGCTCGTTGGCTGCTCATTCAGCTCCAGATGAGGAAGAAGAAGAAGAAGAAGAAGAAGCAACATGTGGCATCAAACGAAAAACATCAAATGCTTCCTCATGTAAATATAGATAAGCTGATTAAATTATTCTGAATTGAAAATCTAAATATTTTGGTTTTTAGTAAAATCAAGTCGAAAAATGTCTTCGTCTACTATTGAAGAAGCATCATTAAATGAAAACGAGCAAAATCCGAAGTATTCTTGTTGTCATACTCCATTCTTTATTAAATTACTTAAATTAAATTCACCTGAAAAATTCTATCTATTTATTGGATGTATATGTTCTCTCATGTTCGGCTGTGTTGAACCAGTAGTTGGTCTCATCTATTCGATTGTTTTTGGACTTTTGGCAAATCCAAATCTTGCAGATCAATCGCAAAGTACAAGAGATTTATCGTTGATAATTTTTAGTATTTATATTTTTGCTGGTATTGTACAATGTCTGAGTACAATTACATTTGCTAAATCAGGTGAAGCATTAACATTACGAATGCGTTTACGGACATTTCAAGCAATGCTAAGGCAGGATATGAGTTGGTTCGATGAAGAAACAAATAGTGTTGGATCATTGATCACTCGATTATCTACAGATACAGCTGCTCTTAAAGTAAAAATTAAAATTCTACTTTTCTTTAACTTTTTTCTTGTTCAAAGGGTTTAACAGGTGTTCGACTGAATGCACTTGTTTCATCTTTAGGTGCGCTGATATTTACACTTGTTGTTGCGCTGATGGCTGGCTGGAAATTGACATTAGTTGTTCTATGTTTCACTCCATTATTAATTTTTTCCGGTTATCTACAAGGGCAAACACAATCGAAAGCAGGGCAATCAAAAACAGCAAAATCATTTGCTGAAGAAGGTGGGCGAGTAAGTTATTGTAGTTTTATTAGAGATTTTAATGCTTTTTGTGATTTAAATAGTATGCAGTTGAAGCTATTCAAGATATTCGTACGGTAGCAACTTTGAATCAAGAAAAATTTTTTATCCAAAGATATGAAGAAGCATTTAATCAAGATTTTAAGTAAGTCATTGTAAAAGAATTACTTTTTTTGATAAATAAATATTTTCTTTTTCTAGGAAACGAATGTGCAAAATTCAAATTCAGGCATTAGGCAAAGCAATAGCAAATTCATTTTTATATTTTATACAGGTTACAACATTCAGTTATGGTGCAAGTTTAATTGAAAATGGTGAAATGGATTTTTCACAAGTATTTCGAGTTTATATAGTTATTAATTTTGCATCCATGTCGATTGGTCGAAGTACATCTGCCATGCCCGATTATAATATAGCTAAAACAGCAGCAGAACGTATTCTTGCATTACATAATCGTCAATCTGCAATTGATCCATACAACGAAGATGGTTTAAAACTGGTTGGTATTTAAATTTTAAATAGAAAGGGAAGTCTTTTTAAGTTCTGAATGAAAATATTTTTAGGATCATTTTCAAGGCAATATCGAATTCCATAATATTACATTTTCATATCCAACACGGAAAACTCGACTTGTTCTAAGCAATTTTAATCTTAAATGTTTAGAAGGACAAACGACAGCATTGATTGGTTCTTCAGGTTGTGGGTAAGATAAATAAGTGTTGATTGAAAACTATCTTCATATTCATTTCATTATAGGAAAAGTACAACTATTTCTCTTTTACTTCGTTTTTATGATTCAACAGATGGTAAAATCTTTTTGGATAAACATGATATCAAAATATTAAATATAAATTGGCTTCGGTCAATCATTGGTTTTGTTCAACAAGAACCCGTTCTATTTAATCGTACTATAGCAGAAAATATTGCATATGGAATTGATCATAGACAAGTAGCTTTGGAAGAAATAGAAGAAGCAGCTAAACAAGCTAATATTCATCAAGAAATTCTTCAATTTCCTCAAGTAGTTTCTTACGTTTTACTTTGTGAACTATGTCCCATATGAATAATTTTAGGGTTATGAAACTAATTGTGGTAATGTTGGAAATAGTCAACTGAGTGGTGGTCAAAAACAACGCATAGCTATAGCTCGAGCACTGCTAAGAAAACCTAAAATACTTCTACTTGACGAAGCTACATCTGCACTCGACAATACATCCGAAGGAGTATGTTCATTAGTATATTTATTATTTATATTTTATTTTAAAATTAAGATTGTTCAAGAAGCAATCGATAACGCACGAAAAGGTCGAACATGTTTAACTATTGCTCATCGATTAACAACTATAAAAAATAGTGAAAAGATCGCTGTTGTCAAGAGTGGCCGTGTACATGAAGAAGGACAGCATGAAGATTTATTAAGACAACAAGGTTTATATTATAAACTTCAACGAGCAACAGAGCAATCACATAATCAACAATGACTCGTGTTTATTTTTTGCTTTACTTTTTGTGGTCTTTCATTTATATCAGACAATCAATAAAATTCTTGTATAAATAAATTCAAAATATCGTGAAGAAATCATTCGAACATTCTACTTATAATCAAAATCGCAAAACAAAAAATATTTATTTCCAAAAATTCTTTTTTTTGTGATGATCAGTTTAGAAACAAAATCTGTTTTTTCCTCTTCTGTTTTTCAACTTTTTAGACTATTTTGATTGAGTACACCACATTAATATGCTAACAAAAATTGATTTAAACATATGCTTACATTAAAATGCAAATAGTATGAATCAGGAGAAAACAATTCGGTAAGGTGGCTCAGAACGTAAAATTTCTGATAATATTGATTTGCTGGTTAAAAATAGGTTATGAAGCAATTTTGTAATTTTCATATTCGAGAAAATTGTTCGGACATACATTCTACATGAATTCGAGACTCCCAGGTTCATCTTTAACATGTAGGCTTGTATCGGAACATGCGTTAATATCATGAAGAAAAATATTACTAGAAATGTTGAATTTTAGGCATCTGATAAAAAGAAAAGGTCGTGTTTTCTATGAAAGGCTTCAGAAAAATCTCTGCCATATCCTCAAATCTTAACATAAAACTGTGGTGCATTCGAAAGTATACGCTACGTCGCTGTATTTATAAAACTACAAATAGAAAAATAGACTTTTTTTTAGGGAACATCATAACAGAAATGAAAGGAACATAAAATTGAATTATTCAAGTTTATGAGTTGTTGTCATCCTTATTTTATTTAAATTAGGCTTATATGATCGTGTGCAGCACTTATTTTATTGAAAAAGTATATCCTATGAGGATCAAACCAATAGAAGCATTTTCTGCAAAAATGTAAATTGACTCAGTGAATGTACTTGCTTGTTTATCACTTCCTTTTTTCCCTATTTTTAGCCTGTTTTGGTAGTTTCAAAAAAGTGTACAAAATGATTTATAAAAAAAATAACAGTCTACCATATTATGTTGCACTTCCTTCGATTTCTATGGCTTATATGTGACAAAAATGACGATCAACAAAGCCTGCGTCATAAGCAAAAATCATACTGGAATAAGTAAATGAAAAGTTAGTAATCGATGACCTTTCATGGCGAAAAAGGAAGTAAAAATTTCTCTATTGCTGTCAACTATATAAGTACCTATATAATTTACAAGAGAATGTCTATGAATTAAAAGAAAATAATAAATTAAATAAGATCATATTGATTCCCATACAATGGTACTTTTAAAAAATATAAACAGGCAAGAATTCTTTCAGCTCGATGATGATCAATCACCACAATCGTTTCTCAACAGAAAAGCGCTTCAATTTCAATCAGAATTAAATACAAAACAATTTGCATTAAGTATGGATGATCAAGATCCTCTTGGTTATGTCCGACAGAAATTTTTCTATCCGAAATTGCAAACATTACCGAATGGTCTGTATGAAAGAATTAATATCATTTTGATAAAGTAAAACGAAAATCAAATTATTGCTTTCTAGTTGATAAAAAACGAGTTGAACCATCTCATGAATGCATATATCTTTGTGGTCAATCGCTTGGATTAATGCCTGTACAAACATGGCAAAATATGGATGCATTTATGCATGACTGGGCTACTTTGTAAATTAAATGATTTGCTTTTATTTAGGAAACACACTTCAACTTATCTCTTTTCTTGTAATAGAGGCGTTTATGGTCATTTTACTGGTTCAAATCCTTGGGCAAAGTGTGATATTTCATGTATACCAACTATGAGTTTGTTAGTTGGTGCTCAAATCAGAGAGGTCGCTGTTATGAATCAATTATCATCAAATCTTCATTTTATGATGGTAAATATCTTTTTGTACAAAATAGATAATAAGTCTAAAACTCTTTGTCTGTTTTTGACTACTAACAGACAGCGTTTTATCAACCTAAAGGTGAGCGTTATAAAATTCTATACGAAGACCATGCATTTCCGAGTGATCAATATGCCATTAATTCACAAATCAAATTACATGGCTATGATCCAAAAGATGCAAAAATTGTTCTCAAAGCACGCGAAGTAAGTTGATCACAATGTATAATTTCTTTAAAAGTTTAGTTTTTCTTATAGAATGAATGTTGTTTACGAACTGAAGATATTGTTGAAGTACTTCAACGTGAAGGTCATTCAATTGCTCTTGTCATGATTGGCGGTATACATTATTATACAGGTCAATTATTCGATATTGAAACTATTACACGTGTTGCTCATAAACAAGTATGAATAATCATATTGCCAAAAATAAATAAATAGTGAATCTATTCTCTGTTTGTCTTGAACATTGTTTAGGGCTGTTGTGTTGGGTGGGATTTAGCACATGCAGTTGGTAATGTACCATTGAAATTACATGACTGGCAAGTTGATTTTGCTGTCTGGTGTACGTATAAGGTAGGTTATTGAAATTAAAAAAGACAATATTGTATTCTCATTGTGAATATAGTACTTAAATGGTGGAGCTGGATGTATTGGTGGAGTATTTGTACATTCAAGTAATTTGAAAGATACTCAATTGACAACACTTGACGGCTGGTGGAGTAATCAAGAATCAACCCGATTTGCCATGTTGGATAGTACGTGACATTGATTCGATTTTCATGTAAATAGTAGATACTATTATTTGTAGATATTGATCGAGATACTACTGCTCTTGGTTTTCGTGTTAGTAATCCGTCTATTCATCAATGTGCTGCTCTTGCTGCTAGTTTAGAGGTAATTTAACTAGATAGTTTTGATTAAAGTTACAGAAACTATTTTCTTTTTCATAGATTTTTGAAGACGTAGGAATCGAACAAATTCGAGCGAAATCAATGATTGCTACTCAATATCTCCAGTATCTACTTCAAACTGAATTAGCAGGTACCTATTGTTTTATATTCTTTATTCAAATAATTATAGATGGTCCTATTTTTATCCTATATAAAGATACAGGATTGTGCCAATTTACTTTATTGACTCCTCTTAATCCTCAAGAACGTGGTGCTCAACTATCATTTCGACCTATCGGTATAACTGCTCAACAGATTCATGATGAATTAGAGAAAGTTGGTGTTGTCGTGAGTAGAAAAACAATCACGATTATTTGACGTTCACGAATTATCCAATACTACTTTGTTTTTTAGATCGATATTCGCGACGATATTATTCGAATAGCACCTGCACCATTATACAATAGTTTTACTGACATATTTCAGTTTGTCACATTACTGAAAAAAGCAATTATTGCATTGAAAAGAATGTGTGAATAGTAAAATAAGAACTAAAAGAAACTTTTATTTCTCTCTCATTCGTTAAATGTTCGATTCTTTTTTCCAATTAATATTGTGCCATTTTTCTGAAATTTTACTTATCAATTTAGCTTTATAAATAAAAAAAATAATGCGAATCTTTACAATTTCTTCGACAATAATGAATGAAATGAATGAAAAGTTATTAATTAGTTATATTTTATGTTTATTCATTGTACGCATAAGCTCGCGTATTTTTCTTCGAAGTGTTTCTTTGTAAAACTAGTCAAATCTCTTTAGCGAATGCATGCACTCAGTGTGCGTGGAGTACTAGCATACATTTTCAAAATTATTACGCTAAATACTCGACAAATATGATCCATAGAAAAATGAACTGTGCAAATAGTGCGCGCGTGCTTGTGCAGAACTCATAGAAATTTCAGTTTAAATACTCTATTTTACGGGATATGTTTTTGTACTCAAATTGTGATTACATAATTGATTTTTCTTGGAAGAATAGTTAGCAAAAAAATACGAAGTGGAAACAAAAATAAGTTTACTTTTTAAAAATTTAATTCATCATAATAGAATAGCATTTTATTAGAACGGATAACTGAGTATAATAAACAAAAAGAGAAAAATAACGAAATAGCTTATCAAAATTCGATATATTCATTAAACACAAAAACATATGCAAGATATAATCTAGTTTTATTCGCTGTCTTTTTGTTCAGCTGCATATAACCAATTCAAAATTTCATAATCATTCATATCATGCGCTTTTAATGTTGCATCACGAGCAATCTTTGCGACACCACCACAATGTGCAAAATTGCCAATATCACGTGCAAATTGGACAATTTTCGATGAACGTGGTATTCGTTTTCGTTCGTATTCTCGAAATGCGGCATCAAGATTTAATGATCCATATTTCTTATAAGCACTTACAAGTGCATCCGCATCTTCCAATGCTTGTGCAGCACCTTGGCCAGCATATTGTAACATCGGATGAGCTGCATCGCCTAGTAACACCAAATGGCCATGACTCCACTTCGACAATGGATTACGACTAAAATAATACAGGAACAAAATTATGCGAACTCAATACACACATAAACTTACTCATATACGGGCCATCGTATATTACTTTGTATTAGTTTCAAAGCATTTTTAACATGTTCACATCCGATACCAAAATGTTGATTAAGTTCTTCTCGTGTTCCCCATTCGTCTGTATCATCGGGTACTCTTTTTGATTTAAATATCGCTGCTTGATTAAATAATTCTCCACGTCGAATTGGATATTGTACCAGATGCATATCAGGTCCAATCCAAAATTGTACATTTTCCAGGCCAGCTTCTTTTGAAACTTGACTGATATCTATTGTACCTCGATAGGTTACATAACCAACACTAAGCGGTGCTCCATCATCATGAACAAATTTTCTTAACGACGACCAAAGACCATCGGCCGCAACTACCATATTACAATCATAACGTGTACCGTCAGCACATTCAACCATGATTGATTTTGGTCGTTCGTCAACACTTACTACAAAACGATTTGTTTCCAGTGTTACTAATGGATCAGCAAAACATGCTTGATAAAGCGCATTCAAAAGATCAGCTCGATGTACAACTATATATGGATATTTAAATGTTTCAATAAATTTAGGTCCTAAATCTATGCAGCCAAGTCTTTGGCCAGATAGAGCATCCATCCATACAATTTGTTTAGGAAAAACAGCATTAGCTTGTACTTGTTTTAAAATACCAAGATGATCGAGTACACGACTACAATTAGGTGCTAATTGCATGCCAGCACCAACTTCACTAAATTCAGAATTTTTTTCGAATAATCTAACTCGTATTCCAGCTTGAGCAAAATTTAATGCCGTTGCCAAACCGCCAATACCACCACCAACAATCAATATAGACAATGAACGAGCACTGACTAATGAACGTGGCATTTGTCGATGATTACCCATAAGAATGCCGTTGAATATTGTTTCATTACGAAAACATTTAAAAAATAGTCGATGATCGTGTTCAGCTATTTCAGCATAATTCATAGCGAAATAGCAAATTTCCTGAATTAACTCATACTGTTGATCACTCGATGATAAAGCAGCTTGAATAATACGCAGTGAATAATCAGGATTCTTCTCTACTATTTTTTCTGTTGGTAACACAGAAATAGTTGATTGACAATGCAAATCAGCAACAGTAATAGCCAATTGTTCAGCTAAAATTATCCAACTAGCTACAGAATTTAATTCTTTCCAATCGATTTCATGCATTTCTTGCTGAACTGGTATTGAGTCAATAACTGAGCATTGACCTTGCAATAAATATGATTTGGTTTGATGGATTTGGTTTTCTTCATTTGAATTTTGTCGAAAGAAATTTATCTTTTTAATTTCTTTAACCCTATTAATATATTGTTGAATAAACGCTTTCAATATTTCAATTATTTCAATATCACTAAAACCTTGATAATAGCCAATAAGTACAAGATTAGTTGCTAAACGTTTCAGGTCCCACGTAAATGGTGCAATTTTCTTTGTATGTTGTCGTATTTGAAATATTCGCTCATTAGTAGTATCATCAAAGTAATAATGAAATTGGCCAATATGTAAATCACCATGAATATAAGTCGGTTCATGAATTTGAAAATTATCTTTATCACTTTGATTATCTTCATAAAAAAGTGCATGATTATGTTGATAGAATACAACAGGATTAATGGCAATACGTCGAAAATAAGCATGCCATGTTTTAGTTTCATATCGTTTTCCTGTCATTTGATATTTAGCAAAAACTTGTACAAGATAATTCAAACGTTGATTATCATCACCATGAAGAATGCCTTCTACAGATGCTGAACTTGGCATTTGTAATTATTTATTGAATTCAACTGAGTATCTATTTTCATGTGAGATTTCAAACAAAAAGGAATCGATATTTATACGGCAGAATTAGTACATATTCGATGACGAAAATACTATTAGTCACGAATAATATTTGTTGAAACAGCATTTGTCTGCTATCAGTGTATTTTGTGCTTATTTTAAAAGCATTTTTATGTTTGCCCCCATGTTTCATATTTTACATGTCTACTTAAAATTTAAGGAAGTGAAAAAGTTCAACTCGTACATATGTGTAAATAGTTGATTCTACATCATCAAACATGGAAGTGCGTATATAGTTTAGAATAAGAAAAACAAAAAGGTCAATCGTATTTTCAAATATTTATTTTTGTGTTCTTTTTCTTTTTCTTTTTTCGTACTCGCGAATTTTCAAAAATTACATATAAACATATATATTTTTTCATTTATTCTTCCATGAATCCGGATTTATGAAGTTTTTCAATCAATGACGCCAATCCTTGATTTACGGCTTCCTGTGCAAATAATGGGATTTCTTCCAACAGTCCTTGGTGAATTTTTTGTATGATACGCCGAAAATGTGCAAGATCTTTTGATGGCATTCGTAATTTTGTACCAAAAATACGAATATTTTTCGATACTAAAATATTTGAAAGTTTTGAAAATGTTCTAATAAAACAAACAATAAAAGATTCTTACCTGAAAATGCCGAGGCTAAAGCTTCCAACCAATATGACATATTCTTTTTAATAGTTTTAGAAAAAGTTTGACCGAATAAAAATGTAAACAATCGTAAACCATGTAACGTATACACAGCACGAAGAAAATTTTCAATGTTTTCTTTTGCTGGTCTTTTGACTGTATGGACATGAAAAAAAGGATGCTCATTTTTTTTCAATACTACACAAGTATCTATTTACCTGCTATACATGTCTCTTCATTTTCATCATTATTATCAGGACAATCATTTGGTTGACCATCGCAAATAAACTGTAAAGCAATACATCGTTCACTTTGTGGACATTGAAATGGTTCAGATGGATCAGTACATCCTAAATAAAATGAAAGATTTATTCAATAACTATAAAGCTTCTTGAATATGTAAGGAAAACTCAAAGATGATTTTTCGAAGAAAACAATTGAAACAAAATGTACCTTTGAATGATGGTTTCGAATGTAACATTTCGATTGGTGACGGAGTCGTACGGCTTTCACTGGATCCACTAGTCAGTTTTTCTTTATTCCATATTTTCAGTGCATCATCTCGATTATCACTGGATTCGGCCAGCCAATGTGGCCAATGACCTTGTGGACGTAAGTGAACGAAATCAGCACTAGCAGCCACTTGAGCAGTATCCACGAAAAATAAGACAATAATGACAAGTTTTGACGTTGTAGATTTCATCTTTGTTGTTATAATGCTGTTGTTTTTGATATTATTTATGGTGAATAAATAGGACAGGTTAAAAATATCTAGAAATTAGCAAAAAGAAACAAAAGACAAGAAGTTCTCTAGAGAAATGCAAGAATTCATGATTTTTTAGATTAATTCAGCTTTATAGAAGAATAGCTTACGATTTCTACTTGTAAGATACAACGAGTCACATGTATGAAAGAGCAGAAAATATATGACACATTTATTTTTAACAGAAACTGTGTATGAAATCAATTCAATAGATATGATCCAAATTGTAAGAACTACGAAGCGGGGGGGGGGGGGGGGGGGGGGGGGGGGGGGGGGGGGGGGGGGGGGGGGGGGGGGGGGGGGGGGGGGGGGGGGGGGGGGGGGGGGGGGGGGGGGGGGGGGGGGGGGGGGCG